CCTTCCCAATCAGTTTGATCTCTTACAAACCTTGCACCAAAAGATGGCTTCAGTGTTTTCCTGAAGCTTCTGCCAATAATTGTTTGTCATAGGATTTTATGACACTCCACAGACAATGCCAGTCTTCTCCCCGTGCAATCCCAGCAAGTGTAACATCTCTTCGTTGTGATCCAAAAGAGAATTTTCAAGACATAACTCAGGGGAGGGCTCAAATGTGTGGAATTTCTTTTCCATTTCTGCAGTGAAGCTTGACCAGTGGGCCTCTGTGGTTTGTGGCTGTCTGGCTTCATCAAGTCCTATGTCTACCCTTTGCCTGCCCCTCAGCTTGGCTAGAGGACGTCTGGCCTGAGCTCCTAGAAGAAGCAGGCTTTCAAGGCAGTCTTCCTCCCCCACACTCTTGGCATTCATATGGCATGGCTATAAATTATGCCCAGCATGTTCATTTTCAGTTTAAATGTGTTCTCATCCCAGAGGAGCAACTAATGGCGTCAAGTTACTGATGTGAAAAAAGCCTGCCGCTACAATGACTATGGATTAATGAAATCGCAGTCATGGAGGCTGGGGCAGCAATAAATCGTTAGCCACCAGTGACATGGATTTTAAATTATGTTCTCCGTTTCTTTTTCCCTGCTCCAAACTTACTTCACCATAAAGTTGTTTGGTAAACGTTGACGGTTGCTTAAATGTTTGCTTTCTATTAAAAGTTGATGCAGGAAGGGCCCTTGCTCTTAAGGGTTCTTTCCTCAGAAAATGAGAAAGACAGCTGAAAGGGATTTAAAAATCTATCATGCTTTTCTCTAGGAGGCATGAAGGTAAATCTCTTAATCCAGGATCATCACTGACTGATAAATTTCATTCAGAAAACTGGCAAACATAGGGTTCTATCTGTGAGTTCTGCTCATTTGGCATTTATGCTTCTACTCTCAACTTCTATTGTAGTTTCCTCCCACACCCACCTGATGAATTAAAAATGAGGAACCAATATCATTGACACCAGTGCTTTTTTTAAATGATGTAACAAACAACACTTTATTTATTTTTTTAAATTTTTATTAGTGAGACATCATGAGGTACAGTTGTAGACTTACAAATTTTTTGTGCTTGGGTTTCAATTATACAATGATCAAATACCCATCCCTCCACCAGTGCCCATTTCCCACCACCATGGATCCCAGTATCCCTCCCACCCCCCTATCCCCCCCATCCCACCCTGCCTCTGTGGCAGGGCATTGCCTTTTGTTTTCTCTCTCACTGGGTGTTGTGGTTTGCAAAAGAGGCAATGGGTGACAATCATGTTTGGTCTATAACATGACCATGCTTTCAGCATGCTTCTCCCATCCTGGGAGGATCCTCCCAACACCCTTTATTTGGTGCTCCTTTCTCTATCTGAGCTCCCTTTTCTCCTAGCATGTGTGGCTGTCCTCCAAGTCATGGAGTAAAATTTGTGGTACTAATCTAGGCCATTCTTGGACACCAGTGCTTTTGAAAGGTAGCAAGTACTCTTTCCTTGAGATGAAGGACCCCAGGGAATCCATTTGCCATGGGAAGTTCAAGAATCACCAGTCATGAAAGTCAACTGTTCATATCTAGGGGTTTGTTTTTTTTTCCCTAGAAAGAAGATCTATGGACATCATCAAATTCACTAAATATAACACCAAAAATAGCTAAGGGACTTATATGCATAAATGGCTACAAATTTCTTTCCCTCCACAAATCCATGTCCCTGGAGTTGAACTTCATAGTTCTTTTTTTTTTCTTTTTTTGCTTTTTTGGTCACATCTGGCGATGCTCAGAGGCTACTCCTGGCTTTGCACTCAAGAATCACTCCTGGCGGTGCTCAGGGAACAATAAGGGATGCTGGGAATCCAACCTGGGTTGGCCACGTGCAAGGCAAATGCCCTACCTGCTGTACTATCGCTCCAGCCCCTGAACTTCATACTTCTTTTGATTGAGAAGAGCATTTATCCACACTAAATTCTGACTGGTCTTGTATTTGACTTTAGCCTGTGGAACATGAGATCACTTTAAAAGAATTTGCACACTGGGGCTTGCCAACTTACTGTTGCTGCATCTCTGCTGCCATGTGAAGAAGGGTGGAGTGACCAGTGAGCTTCATGACTCAATATCCTCGTTTCCCAGCTGGCCCACTAGCAACTGCAGGCAATGAATATGCCCCGGCTAGAAAAGCCAAACTAGGGTCAATTGGGAATTGTCCAGCCCAAACTGCTGGTATACCAAACTATGAAAATAAAATAAATGTTATTTTAATAGGCACTAAAAACTTAAATAAGCTCAAGGCAGTGTTTATTTGGAGCATCAGGCATTTGTCTTATGTAGTCTTCATATTTCGTTTCCCTAAAATCACAGTAATAATTTAATATCTATTTTTTAAAAAAATATTGAATCACCATGAGGTGGTTACAAGCTTTCATGTTTGGGTTACAATCACACAATTATCAAACACCCATCCCTCCACCAGTGCACATTTACCACCATCAATGTCCCCGGTATACCCCCCATCCCAACCTCCCCCTGTCTCCATGGCAGACAATATTCCCCATACTCTCTCTCTACTTTGGGGCATTATGGTTTGCAATACAGATACTGAGAGGTTATCATGTTTGGTCCTTTATCTACTTTCAGCACACATCTCCCATCCTGACCGATTCCTCAAGCCATCATTTTCTTGGTGATCCCTTCTCTATTCCAGCTGCCTTCTCCTCTCCGCTCATGAGGCAAGCTTCCAGCTATGGAGCAATCTTCCTGTCCCATGTATCTACTATCCTTAATAGGTGTCGGCTTCATGTTATGTTGTTTTATACTCCACAAATGAGTGCAGTCCTTCTATGTCTGTCCCTCTCTTTCTGACTCATTTCACTCAGCATGATACTATCCACGTCTATCCATTTAAAAGCAAATTTCATGACTTCATCTTTCCTAACAGCTGCATAGTATTCCATTGTGTAGATGTATCAAAGTTTCTTTAACCAGTCATCTATTCTAGGGCACTTGGGTTGTTTCCAGATTTTGGCTATTGTGAACAGTGCTACAATGAACATATAGATAGAGATGTCATTTCTACTGTGCTTTTTTTTTGGCATCCTCAGGATATATTCCCAGAAGTGGTATTGCGGGGTCATATGGAAGCTCAATTTCTAGTTTTTGAGGAACTGTCCATATTGTTTTCCAGAAAGGCTGGACTAGTGGGCATTCCCACCAATAGTGGAAGATCATCCCTTTTTCTCCACATCCACGCCAGCACTGGTTGCTTTTGTTCTTTTGAATGTGTAGAATTCTCTGTGGTATGAGATGATATCTCACTGTTGTTTTGATTTGCATCTCTCTGATGGTTAGTGATGTGGAGCATTTTCTTCATGTGCCTTTTGGCCATTTGTAGTTCTTTTTTGAGGAAACTTCTGTTCATTTCTTCTCTCCATTTTGTGATGGGGTTGGAGATTTTTTCTTATACCATTCCACTAGTGTCTTGTATGTCCTGGATATTAATCCCTTATCAGATTGACGTTGGGTAAATATTCTTTCCCATTCTGTGGGCTCTTTCTGTATTTTGGTCACTGTTTCTTTTGAAGTGCAGAAGCTTCTTAGTTTGATGTAGTCCCATTTGTTTATGTTTGCTTCCACATGCATGGTCAGTGCTGTTCATCCTTAAAGATGCTTTTAGCTTCAATGTCGTGGAGAGTTCTGCCTACATTTTCCTCTATGTACCTTATGGATTCATGTCTGATATTCAGGTCTTTAATCCCATTTTGTTGAATAGCATAGTACTGTTCTCTCAAGCCTGAGATTCAGCTGCTTTCACAAGTAAATAAAGAGAAAGTCCCAGACCATCTGATTTCAAGCCCAGTTTTTCTTATAAAACAGGCTTCAAAATACCTATCTGTGCTATTGTGCCTCTGAGAGATACTGTTTGGGTTAAAGAGGTGCTTGATCCATAAGCAGAAACAACTACAGAAAAGGTGGCAGAACTCATTAGCATGCAGGTTATAGTGTGGGTTTCAATGATCAAAGTGATCACCAGCTTGGTTCAGCAAGTAGACTCCAATTTCCAGTCATCAACTTTCTCAACTGCAAATGAGGCAGATTCCTTTGGGCTGGCTGAGATATCCATGTATCATTTTGGCCATGTCCAATGCCACCGTAGACCTTGCCACTTGCAGGAGTTGGGCAGGCTCCTGAATAGGAATCGAGGGCACATGAGTTGCTGCCATCACCTCTGTATTTCATTTCTTGCTTGTGAAATAAGGTGTGGGTGTGGGAAGGTTCTTTGAGAATCCTTTCAGCTGCAAGGATCCAGGGGCTTTAGGGACTACTAGAGTCTTATCTAAGCATCACAGACTAAACTGTTCTCAGGATTATTGAGCCATAAAAGAATTTAAGTTTTATGGGGGTGGGGGGCTGAGGGAGGAGGAGGGAGGGTGACAGAAAAGAAATGGTTTTCTGAATTTGTCTAAAGAAGAAAGTTGGAAAAGTAGGTCAGAGAATTGAAGAGTAATAGGGGGGGAAAAAACAGCATGCCTGATTTGAGCAGAATGTTAGAACCCTGCTTCCTCCAAGAAGGAGATTCATTCTCTGCACATGGCTCATTCAAACCACCAAGGGAATTGCAGGGAAAAGGCATGACTGACACAAAGGGTCATACAATACTCAGAGGGAGAGTTACACAGAGAGCAGAGAGTTCTGGGAGAAACAGTCTGCATTAAGATTTCCTATCCTTTTCTACTAGATCTAAAGGGACTTCTTTCCAGGACTCTGGATAGAACTCAGTGGATTACAAATGTAATTGGAAGTGAATAATGGACACATGTATTATTCACCACAAACAGTGAGGACAGCATTTGAAAATTCAGCATTGCCTGCCCCCCAAATGAACACAAGATTTTTCTCAGAAACAAAATGTGAAAGTAAATATGATTTTTATTCAGCTACCCCTATGTTTATGTTTATCCAAGGATAAAGTTATAAATCTGTCATGCTTAAAATAGGATTTTCTAACCTTAGCATTAACATCTTAACTATTAAACCTATCAAAGAATAAGCAAACACAATAATTTCTAGGTGGCATTTTCAACCTTTTATTGTATTTATTATAATCATGCTTCTCTACAGCTAATTATTCCTCTGGTTTGCAACCATATGTCTGCCCTTATTTACCTACATAAACACAGAAGAGCATTTCCACCAGGGGAGGTTCCCACAGCAAACTGCATAGTGTGTGACCTCAGTAAGTCATCCAATAAAGGGATGAGCAATGCCTCTGACTGAGTTCTTTCAAGATGCTCTTATGTTAGCATCACATTCTTCTAAGAGTAGAATTAAGTCTTCAATCAGGCTGTGCTCTCTTCCATGTGTCACTCTCATAATATCAAAAGCCTAAATAGAAAAGAAGACAGATTAGATTCCAGGTCTACAGTGTGAGAAGCATACGGTTCCCCCACAGAGACTATAAAGTGACAAAGATGATTTTTACTGTGGCACTTAGACAGGCAACTTACTCCTCTGGTAATGCAGGGGCCTGCTGTCCAATCATTGGGAGGGGTTGTTTGTGCATGCATTTATGGATAGAGACAGAAGTTTAAGGAAAGCTACAAAAATGATTAAGCAATGCGGAGAATGAAATATAATGCTGAGATCACTTTAAAATCAACCTTCATTTTTGTGTGTTAAGTTCAGTTCTCAGCCACATGCACCGTGATTATTAACATATATTTTTGTATTCTCTTTATCTCGTGACATTAAAGCAAGGGTATTTTATAATCTCTTCCATTCTAAACTTTCAGTTTATCACAAAATCTTACCAATCCTACCTGCAAAATATTTCTGAAATCTGGGTGAGTTGGTGGCTATATCAATAATAGAGATTAAAGGAAGTGGTGATGGTGACTTCCAAGGCCAGATTAGAATGGCCAAACCAGACTCTCCTTTCATGAGGCTGTTTGCCAGAGGAGTCCTGGGACTGCCACTTGCAAGCACTCTGGCTGAGAGTCTTAGCTGAGCCCACCATTCAAGCCAGTCTGCCTACACACCAGACCAGAAATTTGCCTAAATATGCCTCTAGATGTTTCCAGTCACCAGCCAGGAAGATTCTAATCTGCCCAATGAAAATCCCAGATGTTGTGGAAAGTAGGTAAGTCATTCATATTGTTATCAATTTGAATTCCTGACCCAAAGCATCTGTAAGTATAATCACAAGGTGGCTACTTTACCCTAAGTTTTGAAATGGTTCTTTATTAAGAAACACATTAATATATTGTCCAACAGGGCCTGAAAAATAGTACAGAGAGTAGGTCCTTGAATGTGGCCAGCCAGGGTTTGATACCAGCATGCCATATGGTCCTCCAAGCCCACCAGGAAGTGATTCCTGAGTGGAGAGCCAAGAGTAACCCCTGAACACTGCTGGGCATGGCCCCCAAAACAAAACAAATACACACACAAAATCGCAAATAACTGCAATGGCCTCAAAAGTATTTTTGTAATAGATAAACATAAAAATAGAAATAAAAGTATCTTATACTGTCTAAATGGGTGGCTTGGGGGATGTAATAAGGGTGAGTACCACACTACACCCATTGCATTCCATGTGAATGTGCCATCAGGAGACTGGAAAAGCATCAGGCAACAGAACCTTAGCCTTGGCTGTATAGGAATATTCACCAAAAGCACCCATGCCTAGACTCCACACAGAATTAACTGAGACTTGCCCTCTGTGGGTGAGCCATGAGCTCAGGATATTCTAACAAGCCCTCTGGGGTGAGAATTCATATAGTGATTTTTCTCGAATGACAGCCACTATTTATTATTCCATTTTAATTTATAGCCAGCGTAATTACCATTTTAATGGTCCTGTACAATTAATTCCATCATGTTTACAGACTGTAACTCACTAAGCTACTCTTGGAAATTGAGACTACTTGCAAATTGTTTTTGTTATGATATGTAGACTGTCCAATACTTGACCTTTTATTTCTTGGTGTCTAGACCACAACTGGTCATAACCTGTGGTACTCCGTGGCAACTCCTGGTTTGGTGTTGTTCCCAGTGGTGCTCAGGGCACTGGAACTAAATCAGGGGCAAGCAAAGTGTATGCTACAACCCTCTGAGCCTTCTCCCTGGGGGACACTTTGCTGAATGTTTAACCAACACTGCACTTTGTGTTGTCACATTTAAGTGTGAGCCACCAGTGGTGTATGGTGTAAGTGTTAAGTAAAATTCTTAGAAAGTAGAAGCACTTTGGGGAACAAATTGACAGGTCCCACATATTTAAGAGGAGGAAGTCATTAGCAGGAGTTCAGGTCTATGATTCTGACTATTTTTTTCTTTAAAAAACAGTGTTTTGGGGCTGGTATAAAATAGGCAAACACAGGGGATCTTGACACAGATTTAATGACTGAAGAATTAAAAATGAGTGAGAGAAAGATACCCCACTCCCAACTTTTTCTCTCTGCCTTGAAGGGTGCCCAGCTCACACAGTTGTAATCTCATGAGATTATTTCTGAGTCACAAGAGTTCTTGGTTTTCACTAGAGTTATCTGCCACGTTGGTCTGCAGCAAAATCCCAGGGGTAAGAGCAGGGGTACCAGGGAGGGGAGGAGTGGGAATCAGTCCTCCACCACGCAGGTCTTTAAGCTCTGAACAGATCAAAAGCAAATGGTGAATGACTGACATTTGGGGAATCAAGGCTTCATGTTTTAGTGCCCTGCTCCTCACCTCGTACCCCTGTCCTGCTCTTGGTCCTCCATCACTCTACATCAGGTCTACGCAAACAGTGGAATAAGAGCATAATTTTAAAAGGTTTTTAAAGCAAAGATATGCTTCAGGTCCTTGCTGGGAAATTCTCTCACTTAAAAAGCAGTCTTAGATTTTTTTCTTCTTTTCTATTCAACAAAGGGTCAGGTGGACCGTGGTCTAGCAATGAATGCGAATGTCTGAAAGGGGAAACACCCCTCCACTGGGCCCATTTGTAGTAGTCTAGGAAAAGGCCAGGCCTGACCTACCAGGGGCTCATGCCCCTCCCTACATTTATGATGCCCCCTGCCCAGTGAGGTCCCAGCAGTTTCTCAGATGCAGGCTGACACCAGCTTCCCACGCTTCTGGGTATATATCTTCCCACTTCCTCATACAGAGAATCACCTGTGTCCCTCTGTGTTTAGACTCTCAATCTAAATGACCAGATCAGGTTGACCCACATGTTTTCACATCCATTAGAGGCCCCAATCTCCCTCCCATCTTACATTTCCATTTCTCCCCACTCCCAGCTCTCAGAATAAGGCCTATCCTTCCAGAACCAAAGTGAATGGGACAGATCCTGTTCACTAGAGAGGCAGACCTGCCAGTCCCATTACAAGCAAGTGCCTGAGCATCAGCAGGAAGTGTCCAGCCCTACAGCCAATCTGGTATTGTAGAGCCCAGTCAGGAAGAGGAAGGTGGCTGGCGTTCCTCTGGTGCCCCCTTCCATACCTCCCAGCCTGCTTCCTCGTGGAAGGGTCACGAGCACAAGCTGGTACGCCTAATCATTGTTTATCCTGTTTGGCCTGAGACGAAGTCCCAAAATGAGCATATGACTGTCAAGACTCAATCTAACATTTAGTCCATGTCTGCAGGAATAAACCTGGGGACAGTCTGCAGGGACTGAGGAGAGGAACTGGAGGGTGCCACAGATATGACTTCTGAGGCCTATTGAGAGATCACAAGCCCCCCTGCCCCAGGCAGCATTATGCTGGTGTTTTCTTATTTGGTTATAAATATAATATGGGAAGGAGGGGTGGGGACAGCTCCTGAACATATATGCATGTGCAAGATTTAGATATTGAATCTTACTCCAGGACTGGTTAGAAGCAGCAAAGAATTGGATTTAGCAGAGTTCAGAAGATCAACCTGAAGCTACTGAAAAAGACTAGCATCATTTAGGGAGAAGAAACTAAATACAGATACAATGAAACAGTCAACAATAGTGTTTTCTCAAAGAAGGAAGCAGGATATATGTGAAAAATAACTTTCGGACTATCTTCTGCATGTGCATGAGTGGTCTGCCATGCTTGGGTGGACAGGAAGCTGAGGCTCAGACCACATGGGCCTTGTACTGGACATCACCGGGAACTGATGGAGAGATAAGCAGGAGCAACAGGTCTCAGTAACATGACAAGAGGGCCCAAGGGGGCTGTAGGTCCTAGCTGCTTTCCATAACTGTCTCAGTCCACTGGGAAGATGAGGTTGTCCCCAACCCCGGTAAGAAACAAACCAATAAGCTGAAGTTATGTTAAATTTTTGACAATTCAGAGCAATTGTTTCCTGTAACTGTCTCCCTTCTCTCAGCTCCTCCTAACTTCACCACATGCTCACGTCAGCCAGACCAATCTTATTTTAATTTCCTCCTGCAGTATATAAAACAGATTAAGGAAATATAAAATTGGAGCTGGCTTGTGCTGGGAAAAGCTTATCTCTTTCCATTAAATTTTATTTTTTTAATGGTAGCATTTAAAAAGAGCCTGCACATAATCTTCCACAGAGGACTCATTTGAAGCCTCCAAGGGGGTTGCTGCACCCGTGTACTGACGCTAAATGTCACACGAGAAATGGCAGCACAAATTGTCTGCCATGTGACAGTCTTGGTCCCTCAGGAACAAAGATGGGGTTCCCAGAACTGATTTCAATCTCATCACATCTTATTATTATTTTTTAGTAATTTTAGAATTGAGGTTATATATTAAGTAAAATGAATTCAATCAAATTACAATTTAAAGTTGCAAACAATATAGCTTTCTTATTAATTTTTAATATAAATATATTAAGCTTATCAAAGATCTCATATACTCTCTACCATGAGCCTGAGGGAATCCAATAAATGACTTCTCCAAGCATGATTTAAATATGGATATAAAAATTGGAGAGAAAAGAAATGTATGCATGATAAGAACCTCTGAATCAATCACAACAGGGGAAGAAGTCAAATTTTCTCCTTCTGCCTGTCTGGGGATGAAAGTATAACAGGGAGGGGAGGGGAGCCACAGAAGAGGAATGGGGCGTTCAGAGTTGGAAAGGTAAGAAGCAAGAGCTCCACTCATTAAACAGCTCCAGAGTTGAAGAAAATTTCAAAGCTTTTGTGACCTGTCTGTGCTCCTGCTAACTCTTTCAGACTCTGAATAAACGTTGAAGCTGCTAGGAAGATCTGTCCTCCTGTAAAAAATTTTTTTTTGTAAAAAAATTTTTCTTACAGAAAACAGGTATTCACTCCATCACTAAATATTTTCTAGGAAGTTGTGATGAACTTTGTTTGCTCTGAAGAAAGGAAAGTGGGAATCCAGTCCTGATAGTCAGAGAAACAATTCTAGCAAGGTAGGGGGGCTTAGGGAGAGATAGAAAGGTACTGGGGTGCT